ATTGTCCTTATAAAGTGCCTCTCGTTAGCAAAGCTGCAGTTAGAGAGCTGTGGGCAAAAATACACAATCCCTCGTGCAGTCGGAGCCAGCACCGCCACAGTTCCTTTTCCTGCTTGTCTAGACCATATTCTGTACTCCTAGGCCCATCCCATAGGGGGAAAAGGACATGGCATCTCATCTCAGCGTGTCCCAACATGTTGCCCCTGGAAGATCTCTATTTCTTATATGCATTTCTATCCCGAAGACCTTGGCTTCAAAAACCATTCCCTTGTTTCCAAATTCATACAATTTTGTTTATTTTAAATTTTAATGCCTTGAGCTTATTATTAGAAAAATGCCCCCATCCACAAGATGAAAATGATCAAGAACATAAAAACTGCTTTGAACATGAAATGTTAATTCGACAACCACCTCCCTCCAGCCACTGATAGAAAAGCAAAGACGATGGCAAAAATATCTCTCTTTCTGAAAATAGTCAATAACTGGATTTCATTAATATTTTTAAGTCATGATATATGTAGACATAATCTAGATATTTAAGAGGTTATTGTTCTTGTCATTTGCTTTATTTTGCTTTTATACTGACCAGTCACCACTGGATCAGCTTGTTCTTTGCCATTGTAAGTAATGATCTACATCCAATTTCTAAAACTCCAAAATTCTTACATAACCTCTTTGACAGTATAGGTTGATGGAAACACATGTGATAGAGAACCTGAACTTATGTGCCTGTAGTGGCATCCTTTCAGCTATTTTCCCTGCTAAATCACAGCGCAGAAGGTGTGAAAAAATTTGCACAGTCCATTAGAGTTTGCAACGTCTCCTGGCTGTGTCTGCCTTTACCTGTGTTTGAAACACAGTCTTGGAGAAAGACCCAAAGTTAGGAGGTCTGAATTCTGGTCTCTCCTCTGCCATCTACCTGGCTCTGTGACCTTGGGCATGTTCCTTACCCTTCCAAACCTCTAGACCTTTGTCAACAAGCCTTCAATAACATAAAGCAAAGGTGTTTCAGAAAGCTCCCAAACACTCTATAAATGCAAAGGAATGTTATGACGTTATCACCAAGCAATCATTTTTAACTCTAAACTCAGGTACAATGTTGAGAAACCAGGATCTCTGCATCCACTCTCATTTTTTTACTTGATCCCAAAGAATGTAATTCTGTCTTTCCATTCACCACCTTCCTGACAAGTGGCATCAATGCCTTCATCTGGGAATTATTGCCTTTTTATTTTCCCCTCCTGATGCCAAAGTTGCGGTTGATAATATGTATTCAGGCAAGGCAGGGGCTCACTGCGCTCCACAATCAGATGCCTTGCACACTACTTCCGTCAAAACAATTAGTGTTCATTTCGGTTTTACTCTGCGAGATCTGAGGTGACTGATCACTATAAATTATGGATATGTCTGTCCAGATGCTCTTGTTCATTCATGCATAGATTTGAGGAAATTTCATTCTTCTCAGTTCAAAAACAGTCACTAAAAAAATTCATACTTAAAAAATATAATTTAGCACCTTTCAACTATGTTATTATTCCTATAACAACACACATTCTACTTGTGATTTCAGGCGTTTGAAGTTGATTTGTTGTATTTCTGGGTTGCTGTTTCCCCCTGTAAAATCTGCTGCCTTTACAAATCATTAAGAAAGGATGGATATATTTTACGCAAAATAATGCAATATGATTGTTTACCCTTTCTTGGGGGGGTAAGGGTAAGGGGGTGCCTGCATGCATTCAAGGTTATCATCAAATACACATCCCTTACTCTGTCTGCTCAGGACATTCAAGGCATTTAGAGCAAAGCAACTTGAACTTGAAATAAACAATGTGAATTACTCCTCTTGCTACATCTAAACAGGCTTTTGACTGTTCACTTTGTTTCATCTGTTTTAAAGAGCAGCTAGAGCGGACAGGAGGGCACATTGTACAATACAACGAAAGAATTGTGTCAGTTCTTTAAAATTCTTTAGGTGGAAAGACTCCCTTAAATATAACTGGGAACGTCTTATTTGATAGGTTTATTTACCATCAAATACATAGACACATACATTTGAGCATTTTTCATGACTAAGTTAATCAGCACTGAACAAAGCAATGAAGAGTGGCCGGTGGAGAAGCACAGAGCCCTCAGCAGCTGAAGCAGGCACCCATGAACAGTCAGGAGGATGAACGCACATTCCACTGCAGCTTCCCGGAATCACACTTTCCAGGAAACAGACTTCTTTTTGCCTGAGGTTTCTGCCAGACAGAGGTTGATACTGATTGAACATGCAGGCTTTGTTCTGAGGATCCCAAAATAACAGGAACAGTAGGCACATTTCATAATCATCATTTTTAGGGAATCAAAGGGGAAAACAACCGAATGTCGGTGGCACAAGGTAGGTGTATGGTGGGCTTAGCCTGTCCCTGGGAAGTCAATGCTCAGTCAAGGTCTCCCAAGGCTGGGAAGTCATGGGGAGGGGGAAGTGGCAGGTCTTCCTCCCCGGGAGACACTCTGATACCAGCCACCTGAAGCACAAAGCAACTTTGAAGACTATAGAAAAGAACGAGTGCCTTAACATAAAACATGCTCCTTTTTGTTTTGTTTTCTTTTTCTGAGGTATCTTCGTAGTCCCACCTCTCAAATTACTGCACAGCTGTTCTTTATCCTCTTTTCTTTTTCTTTTTAAAGATCTTGTTGCTTTTCTCTAATCCTAGAGAGCAAAGGCAAGAGGTAGGCCTGGAGGCCCTGCACACAGCATTGATACCGCAGAGTCTTATAAATCAGCCTAAAATCAATAACTTCTATATAGTAGTTTCTCCTTTGCAACCAGATCGCCAGGGGACAGAGCTAATGCTTTTTCTCCACCCCCATCCCCATTTTTCTGTCATTTAAAAAAGAAATTTTTTTTTTTTTTTTGCTTAGCAACAAATGGGCGATCAAAGTTGCTAAGTATTTCAACTATCTAATTTTATTACTTTACAATTGACATGCCTTCCCTCTGGAAATGTTTGCAATTAATTAATTAGCAGTAATCTTCCCCAAGGGACTAATTTAATGAATACTCTTCAATTCTTGCTTAAAAAAAAAAAAAAAGAAAATAGCTTAGACGTATCCAAGCTGCAAATGAGTGAATGCCCCCAAAGTGCATTTTGAAAATCAAGGGATCCATCTATTGCAGTGAATTTTTATCACTAAATCAATCTGGAGATGCTGATAATTCTTTTTCTAACTAGGAGTTTCCCGGGTTGAACGCAAGCTTTCTCCAAGGTAACGGCACTCAGCAGCAGCAGCAGCAGCAGCAGCCAGAGCAGCAGCAGCAGCAGACAGGAAACCGGGCTGCGTTTGTTAGAATTTAGAATGGAGCCTGTCCTAGAGTCAGTAATCTCTTAGGCGGCAGAGTCTGTGGTTTGCGGTTTCTTTAAGCTCCTGGCGCATTCTGCAGGAAAAAAAAGAAGGGGAAAAAAGCCGGAGATGTCATTCTGAAGAGGTGACAGGCCCGCCAGTACCCTCTTGCAAGGTGCCCAAAGCAAACCCGAGACGAGGGATTCCTGGGGCCAGGGCCCCAGAGCTGGCCAGGGTATCTGGGCTTCCTCCTGACCTCGCGAGAACCCAGGGCAGAGCCCCGGGTTGTTCCTATCCTCTGGGCCACACGTTCTTCGTTTCAACCAGAAGGTAAAACTGGGCACTTGAACCTGCCCCCCTGACTCTGGGAGCGTGCAGCGAGGGCCTGGAAAGGCGTTTTGTAAACGGTAAAGCGCGGTGACCCGCGTGGGTGAAAGGTGAGGATCTCTGAGGTTTCTGATTCGCAAACCTGAAAAGTCCGGGTTCCACCCGGATCTCGGCAGCACCCCCCGCGAGACTGGCCTCCCCTTTTTGCCCCAACACGACGCAGGTTGGAGGCCTTCAGGAGGGCGGCTCCAGGCCTGTGGGTTGCGCCTTCGGGTTTGGAGGGTCTGTATTTGCTCCGAAGCTGGCGTCTGCCTGTCCCTGGGGCCAGGCCTAGAGGACATAGCCCCCTCCCGAGCACCAACGAGCTCCCCTTCCTATCAGTGCCCCTTTGAGGATCCCTGAGATAGGGTTGGGAGGTTGGTCGTCAGACCGCTGGGCCCAGCCTCGCACCCGGGCCAGAGCTCAGGGAATGGGCGACCCTCCCGGCGCGCTCCACCGCGGCTCGCCAGCGCCACCCCCAGGGGAGCGCAGAGGCTGCAGCCGGGCCCAGGCGCCTTCTTCCAGCTCCCCTGCTCCCCGCAGATATAGCCCAATGCAGGCGTGAGGCAGGAAGCCTCGCCTTCGGGGGAGATGCCCAGAGGTCTCAGTCCGCCGCCTGCAGATGCCCGGGGTCAGACTAGACGCCCTTCCAGGCCACGTTCAAGTAGACCTGAACTTCGGCCTCGAGGAGGCGCTATTTGGCCTATAGAGGGCCAGGCGGCTGCAAAGAAGTCCCAGAGTCAAGGCCCGGTCAAAGGTCAGGGCTTAGAGAGCTGGCATCTATCCTAAATCCTGGGAGGCTGAAGCGAAGAGCCAGATCCCTGAGGACAAAGACGGCTGAGCCAGTGGGCCCCACCGACGCTGCCCGGCGCTGCCCAAACCAGCTGCGGGCTCGTGGCGCGAACAAACTTCCCTGCAGCGCAGGGGCGGGGAAGCTGGGCTGGAGTCCTCTCCCTCGAGCCACCGCTCTCCTCCACCTGCCCGAGTTCAGCCTCCGCCCAGCCTTCGCCCACCTCAGTTCCCCCTCCCCCGCGCGCCTCTGTTAACTCGGACTCCACGTGCCTCTCCTCTCCCCCTCCTTTTCCCTCTTTGCCTTTCTCCCCCACTTTTCTGCTGTCTCTCCTTTTGTATTCTCTCCTCCTCTGGGCCGCAGGGGAGGAGGTGAGCGCGCTGCGCTCGCGGCCTGCTCGGCGCACAGGAAGGCGTTCCTGCTACTTCTCCCGGGTAATTTGGAGAGATTGTAAATGCTTGCGCGCGTGTGCTTGAAGCGAAACCGGGTAGGAGACAACGCCGAGCAGAAAGGGTCAGTCAGAGTCTTTGACGTTCCTCACCAGCAACCCAACCTCCAAACCGCCCAGAACAAGTGCAAGTGGGGGTGAGAATGCGCGCGCGCGCGGACCGGCTGCGCTTGGCACGTTTGGTGGCCCGGGGCCCCGAGGCCCGGGGTCCTGCCTGGCGACCCGGGATTACCGTGACGTCACACTGAGCCTCAGGCCACCTTGGACTGGGACACCTTGGGAGGCGCACAGCCCCGCGCCGCTCCTCAGCTCGCCTCGCCACCGCGCGCCTTTGGGAACCCACACCCTCTTCCTTCCTCTGCCCATCCATGGGCCCCTCTGTCTTCCGGACCCCGCGGGCCGGAGGGGCGCCTTCCGGAGCGCAGGGCTTGGCAGCCTGGCTGCCCGCGGCTCTGCCTCCAGCCGCGCCAAGAGGGCAGAAGACCCGGCGCTGGGCACCGGCGGCGGTGTAAGGAACCGAGGCGCTGCACAGCTGGGGGCGCCGAACCCCAGGACTGAGGCGGGAACTCCGAAGGGAAGAGGGAGGCGGGCCAGGGACTGCCACCATGTCCTTCCCACATTTCGGACACCCGTACAGCGGCGCTTCCCAGGTAAGAGGCATCTCCATGGGGGATGGGGTTAGACTGGGTGGAGGGGGTGCCCAGTGAGCGCGCCTGCCCCCCCCCC